GTATATGCTTCCGCCTATATTCGAACTCATGATACTTGCTTTAGTGATTATACTAATTATATGGTATATATATAGACATTTTTTTCTGAGCGTCTTGTTGCTCAACCACGCTAGGTCTTCTTTTTTACACCCCGTTTTCTCAAAGGAAATAATTTCCAACACTATCCCAGGCAGATCCGCTTAGCTATCTCCTGCAGATGCAAAGCATCAAAGGGGGGATAAAAAGGAAGAAATTTTTCCGAAATATAAAATACCCATAAATAGAAATCAGAATTATAGATTCCCAATCCGTCATGCAGAAGAACCAAAAGACAGAACTACCCCCTATGAAACTTTTTCTTATAGATATGGATGATTCTCTTGCAATTCGGCTAAGGTTTGACACACCATTGAACCTGCAAAAAGAGATAGAGGTGAGGCAGAAGCGCAAGGAAAAAAATCACGTGCGCGTGAACAATTCGCCGATCACTTTGGGCAAGATTTTTTTTTTATCATTCATTAATCATTCGCGAAAAATAAGATAGATTCTCTTAATAATAACATATTTAATTCATCATTGCAATACAGTTTCTATTCTAAATACATAATAAATAAAATCGGGTCTTAGCCCGGAATACATTGGTTAAAAAATACACTAAGATTCCTCTTTATGGGGATGAAATCGTTGAGCTATCTTCCATTTGTCTACGCGATGTTGATAAAGGCGCATGGAATAGTAAAGACATGTTGACGATAATAATATTCTAAAATAAGAATCGCGTTAGATATCTTTGTGGCCAAAGGCATAATTATAGCCAGTATGAATAACAAACCCGTAAAATCAGCAAAGTCTTAACGAAATTTGACAAAATGAATTCCCCCGCCGGATGCACCGGAATTTCAGCAGAATATAAATGGTAGTAACGATGAATTTCGTCTGAGCCTCTTGTGAGAACGTTCAGGTGAAACATAAGTCCTATAAAAGTTTCATATTATTAAAAACGTCATTTTGTGCGAAACTTTGGAATAAGCAGAAATAATACACTACCTGCAATCTGAATTCCAATAATCCCAAAATGTTCTTTCTCCGGTTTACATCCTTTGCGAGTCCAATACAATCCATCATTCGCTTCTCGCCATAGTTTTATCATATCATCCCGATCCTTTTGTGATGAGCAGACTAAACGTGAGCACTCAACATACAAGAGTTCATAAACTTTCTCATCACGTCCAACTTCAAACATGATATCTGGTCGTCTCCCTGCTTTGCCTTCACCCTTCCTATCTTTGCTCGCAACACTCTGACGCTCGTATCTAAGAAAAATGATAGGAACTATGAGAAACGGATACCCTCCTAATGCTACAACGACTCAGATACTTACGTAGTAATAAATGAAGAATTTCTATGGGGGAGATTTTTTAACGTTGCTCGAATCAGCGGTACTATCACATTTGAGACATAAGTACCTTCGTTCAATGAATTTGCATAATTAGGTCCAAAGGCAGGGTTGTTCCAGATATTCTTTATTGTACTTAGAATTTCCGATATAATGTCCTTACGAATTTCTAACGACTCTTTCCAAGAGCTATCATGTTTTAACGGCCTCGGCGTACTTTCTGTCTGATGTTCGCTGAAACTTGCTACAAAATTTCCACACATTTCTCTGATCGCTGAAAAGTTCTGAGGCACCATTCGTCGGGCAGGTTTAAGGAACGTTTTTTTCATTGTGTCGGGGAGGTGATTCACTAAATCCGACTTATCATTTATAACCTGGCTGGCGAGAGGATTATCCCACTTGAGACTGGACGCGGTCGTATTCATTAATCCAAGAGAGAATTGCTGGGCGAGTGGTGATGAATCTCTCTACGCGAGAAGTAAGTAAGATTTTTGTTGTATGTAAGCAATGGACATTCTGTACTTACTGTTAGTTTCAACTTTATCTTCTTAAGGTTTGCTTCGATTTGTTCTAGAGTAAGAGGCTTTTCTTTGTTCACTTTTACAGCTCCGATGTCTCGCAAACTACAGACACCATCAAAAGCTTCGTCAAACTAATAAAATTCAGTTAGTCCATTTGTGGTCAAAAATCTTAAATATTATTATTATTTTACGCTCGTAGTCAGTGAGTCGCAGGCCAAGCTATCACCCTCGTGGGGCCCTCACGTTGACGATATCTTTTGTGTGGTTATACTCTCACAACATGTAGACGAACATAGTAAAACAGTTTAAACATCCTCCTCATGTTCCCAAGAGTAAATCCTGTACACGGGCTAAATAGGATGGATAAGCTGATATGTTTGCTATTCTGGCAAAACCAATCTGCGACATTCATCATTCATCATTCCAACAAGATACCCTGGTTTACTTCGAAAAATTACCTGAAGTGGTATTCCAAGGAGTTTTTGTTGCTGAGCCGAATTCTGAACATACAAATTTTTTGCTGACAAAATCGCTTGATGGACAACTCCTCTCAACTCTTCTTTCGGAATCCATGGGTCTTCCTCTATTCCCTGATAAATAACCGAGGTGGCAGTAATGTGTTCTTGCTTAACAGTTACTAAAAAATTGTAAATTTTCGAATATATTTCAGAAGACATAGTTTAGTGTTGTTAATATAGAATAACAAAATATTTCGTATACTGCCCTCTTAAACGTTTTCGCATATCTCAGATTCGTAAATCTTCAGCTTGGGGTTATGGGGTAGGTCGAAGACAAAAATAGATGATAACGTAAAAAGCGAAACAATATATTTTTTGCGCCAAATTTTTCACAAAGAAATAGCATGCATTATGAGGTATTTAGTTGTTGTGTCAATCAGCATGTCATACAAATAAAAATAAATCATGCGATGATCGACTGTGATACAGCAATAAAATAATGTAGGCCCGATGTGGGCAAAAATACTTTATTAAATGCTTTATTAATATACACGAATTTAGCCGAAGGGGCTTTGCACATGACTAAAATTTATTTCAGAGAATGTGAACCGAGTTCACAACGTCACGTGAGTGGCGCAGTAAATACTATTTCGCAAACTTGACCAATATATGGTCGATATCGTCCGGACTTAATTTTGATATAGATGATACCGTAAAAGATTTTATCCTTTGAATCTTATGCTCACCTATTTCGCTAAAAAGACCATAAATCTTTAGAGCCCATTCTTTTTTCTTCCGAAGTAGATCATCGCTAATAGAGTCAGGGAGTTGTTTTCGAACTTCTTTATTGACTAATGCCTGGGCTGTTCGCTTGGGATTATTTTTCATGTATTGCTCAAATCGAATATCAAGTGCTTTTCCGAAACTATAGTATGATTTGATAACAGCTCGATTCGTAATCTCTACCTGACCTTCTATCTTAACGATTACATTGTATAGATCAGAGAAATCACTAGTTCCTACTTCTATAATTTCTGGATCTTGAGATGTTTCAGACGATAATTCCTCAATCAATTTTTTCAATTTGGGGGAGTCGTTTCTTTTATCTGGTTTCCTAGCTTTTTTATTAGGTGACATTTCCGGAAATAAAGGATCATTAGAACTTTTTTTCTGGGAGTCATTTCGGAGTATTGGTGAGTCATTAAGTAGTGATGGAGATATATCCATTAAATCATTGTCATTCAGATTTCCGGGTGACTTGAGAACTACTAATTCCACCTCCTTCTTACAATCGGGTCTTAGACATGATAGACTAGTTTCGATGGAACTTTCAATACAATTGCGGTGATATATATGCCCACAGGTGAGTATGGTGAATGGCTTTTTTATTTCGTACAAAAAAAGCTCTTGGTTGCATAATGAGCATGGATCTAGTTCCAAAACATTAACACCTTCTGAAATCTTTTCCAGGAATGAATTTTTAAGGATATTTAGCGCAAGAGTCTCAAGACAAGAAATATTAGATATAGTAATACTTCGTTATATGGTTTTACTGAATATGTATTGTTTTTATTTATTAGGGACTTATACAAGTCTCCTGATCGTTGAGAAACTAATAGTCGATTAATTTGCTGATCTCAAATGAAACAACGTTCTGAAATTGACCTTCATTAATATGGGTGATCGTTGCAAAACATGGAACAAATATGGTAACTCTAATATCCGCCCTCTGGTCATATTAAGAAAAAAAAATAAAATTTCGGGATGAGTGTTATCTAATCCTATTCTTCATCGGACTCAATTATGAGTTTTATTTTTGGGTATAAGTTTTGGAAATCAGATATTATATTATTTTTAATCCGTAAACATCCCCTAATTTCTATCATTTCCAAACTAGGAGCCAACCCTGGAATTTTTAAAAATACTTTCAGACTTATGCGTCTAGAACCTCTTATCGTGAGTCTTTTTAAATTGAAACACTCGACTAGAAGCACTTCTAGATTTTTATTGTTAAGTATACGTGACCCACTATTTTCAAAACTTAGCCATTGTAAATTGGGGCAAGCCTTACACACTTCGGAAATGTACACATCTGGCTCTATAATTATTTCTCCAATAAATTTTAGTCCTAGTACTTATTCACATGCATCTGACTTCATATCTTTTATTAATGCCTTAGTAAACTTGATTCCGGATATAGCTATTAGAACTATTCTTTGCCATAATACTCTTCTAGCAATATTGTACCATCACTTATTAACAAATAAAAGAGAGTACATTTTGCCTTCATTTTTTCTATGATATTGGAAAATTCTATTGAGAATCTCATTTGGCAAAGATATGTAACATATGGCTGATTTTTTCGATTTTGGAGATGACGGAACTATTTTCTCAAAATTGATCCACTTTAGATTCATCACATTTTTTATCGTCACGAGACCTGATTTTGCAATTTTTAGATCACTCTTCCCGCCTACATATCTTTCTATCAGCTGTTCAGTATTTTTATCTGAAATAATAAAACCATCTGTGTGAATACGCTTTACACGATCTCCTAGAGGTCTAATTTTTTCTGATATAGTTTTACGCCCTTTGCTGAGATAAATGGTACTATACGCTGATGTGGGTCTGGTCTTTTCCCATCTGAGTATAATCGTCTCCAGAGAAATACTAACATATGCTTGGCTACTTTTCCTGCCTGTCCACCTTCATTCTTAATTGTTGTAAGATATCTTGCCCATTGATTGAAAATATCATACCCGCTCATGAGCTTAGTTTGCTCAAATAT